CTCTATCGTCAGTCCGTCGGATTTGAAGTATGCCGGTCGTGACAAAATCAAAGCCACGATGCGTAAAACCGTACCACGATATTCGATGCATCGCGAAGATTGCTTTGTCAAACTCCATAAAATCGCCTCCGGATCCATCGGATGGCTCTTTGCAGTTTTATTTCACGCGATAATTAGGCGTCGGTGTAAAAGGCGAACCTGACGTTCGAATTAAAGTTGGCCGAGGTTGATGGCTGCCAAGCGAGCGCAAAATCAACTTGGACGCGGGACGGGTATCGCGTAGGTGTTTGAAACGAGCAGGGACCGAGCCGAGGCGAAAGGAAAGGGGGAAAAAAAGAGGCAACATCGAGAGAAGAAAGGAACGCGGCGGTAACTCATTCAGCATGGCAAACGAGCTGAAAGAGCTCCGCGGGTAATTAATTGTGCTAGCGCTTTACGCGACCCTACGTGTGTCGGAAAGCTGTAAATTAGCGTGACGGAAACGCCAGGGGACAGTGTGGGCTTGCGCCGTTGATGTATCATGCTTGTCGACGAAATGAAGTAGATCGGATCGCGCGACGTGGATTAAAACGTGCGCCACGCGGACGAATCGGGCAAAAATACAGCCTCGCACTTAGTAAATGCCATCTTCAGATCGCGCTACGAACAACGTAGGTTTTCCTCGCCAATGTAAAACGAAGTAAAAGCAATGACCCAAAGTTACAACATTTGCGGAGAGAGTCGGACATTTTTAGTTGAGTCAAAGACTGCGAATATTTACGCGTTTGTAGAAAATTTCAGAAACGCGTGTAATACGCGTGTAATACGTACAGATATGGATTTGCATAGCCAAGTTGTTGGAAACGATAGAATTCTATTTGCATAAAGTACGACAATTAAAATAAAACTGGAAAATATTAGGAATTCTACGCAGAATAATTTCGCGTAGAGTTATTTCGCTCTGTAACGAGTATCTAAAAATTAAAAAATACCAAACATTATTAATCGTCGTGTAAACGTATCTATTCGTGAAATATAGATTTAGAGATTTATAGAAAAAAAGAAAATAGAATCTACGCTGAAAGATTGAACGCGAGTCTTTCCAACAAAAGTTTTAACGTTTTATCGAAAGATTGCCAAACACCGGTCGAACGAACAAAAGAGTAAGTCCAGGTGCACCGGGACAGACAATTAACGCTTTCTTTCAAAAACAGCCTGCTCTTCTTTGTATTGTTCCGAGGATGGTACCAACTATCGTAACTCTATCTGTCGCGCGTTCTTACCACGTTTTTACGTATAGCTGGAAATCCCTATACACCTTTCCTACCTATCGTGCAAACTGGACAGACTGGACTGCTTCGATGCTAGATCTAACAGGAAATTTCTCACTGATCTATTTCAGGAAGCAGGGAAGCAGCTTTCACGTACGCGATAAGTTCAGCGGGTGTAACGTACGCCGTGACCGCAGCTTGCAGCAGAGGCAACATCACCGCATGCGGTTGCGAACCGACCGTAAGGTAAACTCGTTGTCGTTGCCTTTACGTTTGTTTTCTTTTCGCCGGTTAACGCTGGTTATCAAAGCGGCTATGTATGTACTTGAAAGTGTATTCGAAGGTCGTTCCAGTTTCTGTATCGCGTAAGATTACGATCGCATCGCAGGATCGATAAGAGATCGTTGGATGATATCAGTTCGCAAAAACGGTACGACATTTTCAAACGACCTGATAACATCTGATTAAGGATGGAATTTCTTCGAATAGAAAGACAAAAGTTACATACAGCGATAACGCGAAGCTTTCTCGTAAAAATTTCACGCAGAACGACGCAGAAATTTTTCGACGTGCAGTTACCTAATTTCCAATTTAATGGAACGCTTGTTCGTCAAAGTTCGGGTGTTCTTTTTACAGGACGAGGAAGGAGTTGCCGGCAAATGGCTGGGAATGGGGCGGTTGCAGCGCGGACGTCACCTACGGGATGAGGTAAGGATCATTATCTCGATCCGTAATGAATTCGTAGTCGGTTCCCTTTGCACGTGTCACGTGCGTGTAAAACCTCTATGACGCTGTACGTCACGACAGTTGTTATACACGCATGGATTTTAATATTATAATTTAATGTTAGGTTCGCGCGTAGGTTTCTGGACGCGAGGGAAGTCGAGGGTGACGCGAGGAGCCTGATGAACCTTCATAACAATAAAGCAGGACGGAAGGTGAGTAATGCCAGTCACCCGTTAATGATTCATTCCTTTTAACGCGCAAAAAGTAACGGAAATTTTGTTAACACTAGGTTTACGGGCGTTTCGTGTATACCTATCTCTACGAGCACCCGTCAAATTGACGGGTAAACGAAGATACGCATTTTTCTTTAAAAAATCGATTTATTCAAATTAAGTCTGAAAGGAACGACATTAGGTTTCGCGTTTAAATAAGTTATTAATAAATTATTAATAAATAAAAAGTCTTTTTTTTTAAATTATCACTAAAAAAATAACAATAACATTAACGGTACAGGGTAATCGTATCTATTGAGCACATTTTTTGCAAATATACCGAACGTTTGTGCATTTTCCGCATACGATCTTTTTGCGATACATACAATAATTATTACTTCTATTTTTTTTTGCAATAACCCACTTGGTAACTTTTTCGCACTTCTGACGTCGAAGGTGACAGAAACCTTGTTTTCTCCAGCTAATTCCTCGGCTAAACAAAATACGAATTCTTTTCTGGATATTTTCGATCTGGTGCACTCTTTGCGTAATATCCACGCGTTTATTGCTGCCAAATCTAAAATATCGAAGAAAAACTTGAAGGGGCCATCGAAAACTCCCTGCTTTCACGCTATATTTGCGTGCCATCTGGTAAAGGGGTGGACGCCCTTTTGCCTAATTGCCTTTATATATATCTTTCGATAACTTGCGTATCTCTCTCGCTATTCGAAGATATCGTACGATCGAAAGAATCGTAATTATTAATCTAGATCTTGAAAATTTTAACAAAGAAAGATACCGTATGATAAATACCTTTCAGCGAACAAAGTGCCTCCATATCGATACAGTACGAAGTCGGCAAACTATGTAAATCCTAGACGAACCAGATAGAAAAGGTGTATTGCATTTCGTTATTGTCTTCGCTGAATTTCCCTAGTTCCAGTGACTCGGGGTAGAGTTTGACAATATTTCGTATAAGAGAATGGGGATACACAAATAAGGGTCAAGGGTCGATAGATGTGGAATTTACGAAGATGTTGGGATTTACGAGGGCCGTCCTTTACAACAGAATAATTGTTGCGTAATGGAAAATTCCTTGTACGATGTTAGGGTTGTTTGACCCTTGAACCTTTTGAAAATATACGAAAATGAAACTTCTTCGTTGCTCGAAAGATTCGTTCGTTAACTAAAATATTGGATCCGTGAAAACCGATCGAAAGATTATCGAATACGATCGGAAGGGTATTTAACGGTGATCGTTAACAACATAGCCAATCCTACGTTGAACAAAGTTGTCAAAATTCCAGCGTTGATCTAGTCGTTCGATTTTCTCGTGTCAGAAAGATCATTGTCCGGGAATTCGAGAATAAAACGTATATTCGTAAACGGGGTTAAAGTTAAAATTAAGGTTTGCGGGAAAGGATCGAATTCCGTGCGGCAGGTAGAACGCGTAAATGGCGAGGCTTAATTGGGGAAAGTTGCCGGAGCTTTCGTCTTCCTCGATGGGCTTTATTATCGAGGCGGCGATAAAAACTCGCGTATATCGTGTGGCTGCCCTCCGCGTACGATCTGTGCACGCGTGTACGGACGCGCGCCTGCTAACGATTTATTCTTAACGTCGATCGCTTCGCCGCGCCACATACTTTATGCTGCAGACGATTTTTTTCAACCCACCTCTGCACCCGCCCCTCACCGTCTCCCGATAATTCGAAATGTAAACCAGTTTTCTGAGCATACGCGTCGATCGTCGGACGCGCGATCTGCGAAGAGACGGAGAAACGCGTGCATCGAACATGGTGCGCGCGTGTTCTAATCGCGAGAGAAGAGTTTCGCACTTTTTGCAAAATCGTAGTTCGTCGGTAATCGTAGCGGTTGCTTCACTGTGACGAATGTAGCAGTTTGTACAAAGATGTAGCGTTTCAACCCTTTCGTAGGATATCGTTGGAGCAGCAGCTACTGCGGACTACGATCGACGAATAGCGCGAGAACGATAGAATTACGATATGAAAATGATAAATGTAACGTACAACGAATCACGGAAATACGTGCTCGTATTTTCCCGATTACTTAACGTAACTTAACTTAACAACGTAATTTAAATATCGTTAAACGATCGTTAACATAGTAGAAAAGATAGAAATTTGAAATTATACTGCTATAAATGGCATGGATTAGATGCTGAATTGCGTGAATATTGTTTCATTGCAGATAGTTAAAGCTCTGCTGCAAACAGAGTGCAAATGTCACGGCGTGTCCGGTTCTTGCACCGTGAGAACCTGCTGGCGAACCTTGCCTAGTTTTCGTCAGATCGGCGATGCACTGATGAAAAAGTATTACAGAGCCAGGCCCGTGATAGCGATTACCCCACCGCCACCCCCTACGATGCAGGTAATTTCTGTAAAAGTGGGTCGACGTTGCCAGGACGTAACGTATGATCATATTCTATAGACGATTGCAACGCTAAACGATTACGTCGCCACGTATGACACGCCTATTTTTCCACTATGTTGCATGAATATATAGAGTTAATACGCGGTTAGCGCGTGGCAAAAATACAAATTTTCTGCGAGAATATAGAAAGCGATTCGTTAAGGATAGGTTAACATTCTTTTACGTAGTTACTAAATTATTGGCGACCATGGAAATAATGTTACGCTTTCAATGATAATTTACGTTTTTTAATATTTGTTATCGATATCGAAAATTAAATTGCACAACTCTTACAGATACGAGTTGAATCTTATTATACGTTCGGTTAGCTAACATTTTCTTACGGCGAAATTGTTTGAGATTAGGAATTATCTTTGGAAAAGATTAAGAAAAGAATTTCTATTTATAGATGTACCGGCTATAAACGTGTTTTCAAAAACAATAGCAAACAGGACAATGTATGCGGGCATAACGAGTAGAATGCGATCCTAATCCTACTACCTGCGTATTTATGGATCTTACGAAGCGCGTGACAATAAACGTTCGAATGTAGCATAATAATTCGTAAACTACTTTCACGAGTAATAATTTTATCGTTTTTTATCGTTCTCGTAGAGTCTAGATACGTTGCATTCAACGTCGGCTGAAATAGTGCCGATCTTGGGGAACGACGCGAAAACTCAGGGAAAACCAAACGACGTTGGAAAGACTCGACACGATCGACAACCCCCAAAGAAAGCAACGAAACCGAGGAGGCCACACTTGGTATTAAAAAGGACAAAGTCAAGCGGGGGTTCGAGCGTGGGACAGAAAAGGATTCCAAAGAGAAGCGACCTTGTGTTTTTACAACCCTCGCCTAATTATTGCGAGCCAGATTTGGCGCAAGGTAGTCTAGGAACCCAAGGCAGATATTGCAATCGTACTAGCAAAGGTGACGTATCTACGATATTCGACGTCCCATCCTTTTATTGCAAGCTATTTAACGAAAAGCTTCGTAGTTTCCAATATCTTAAATTTAGATGATCGTAAAAACGATTGATGTTTTAGGTACGGACGGATGCGATCTAATGTGCTGTGGTCGCGGCTACAACACACATCAATTCACAAGAACGTGGCAGTGTAGATGCAAATTTCACTGGTGCTGCCGCGTGCATTGTGAAACGTGCACAGAGCGTACCGAGGAGTACACGTGCAAATAAACGTATTTCGAACGTATTGGCGATTTTAACCATGTAAATATATGTAGTAGACATAAGAAATGGCGACGAGAGTTTCTCTACATCGATATATCCGCGAACTTTGTTGCATTTCGTCGGAAATTATTCAACATCGACCTCAACGTGCTGTTCCTGTAAAGTTAACGAGCGTAATAACGGTACTCGACAAAGCGTTCCTTTTCCTGCTTAATTTAATCGACTTGTATGCTTAAGACGACGATAGATACACGATTAAATTCAATTTTTCTAAAGCTCTCGTTATTTAATGTGATAGTCGATAGTGCGTAATTGTAGAGACGATATTCACTCTCTATATTCATGATAATAAGCGATAAAATGCGAAAGGTAAATGGCGAACTGTCGAACGTTTAATAAGGGATAGCTTTGAGAAATTCGAAAAGCTTGAGTTACCCGTTTTGGAACGATATAAAAGAAACTGAATGAACCGATTTCATAATATTAATTATACGCGAATAATTAAGATAACTTCGATTATTTGTCCAACAACTTATTCAACCATACACGTTGAAAATTGAAGTAATATGTTGAAAATAATAATACGGTTGAAATAAAAAGGAATAAAAATATCTTAAGCAATAGAAAAGGATAGAGATCTAGTTTATTTTATATTAAAATTAATTGTTAAAAAATTTAAATAATTAATGAATCCGAGAGCATCGAAATTGAAATTCAATTTTCGATACTCGCATTGATCAATTACTGCCGCTATTTTCTACAACTTAATTCCATAAGCAAAACTCGTATTAAGGGGGGGGGCTAAGGTTAATTCGTACAAAAATAAGGCATGTTTTCGTGAATTATTTGTGACGACACAGTTAAAATCTTTTTATTAAAACCAATAGTACATTAAAGTATGACATTCGAAGAATATTGTATAAAATTTTCACGGAGAAATATTAAAAAATACGGCAATGGCAGTAATTATTCGGACGTGCCTCGGAAAAAAGTAGAATTGCTCATAACTTGGTGCTGGATCATCTGAAATCAAAAAATCAAAGTTCATTCGTTAGGTAACAGTTTTCCCCAGGTAACGCTGGGAGGGTTTTTCGAAATTTCAATTTTTCACTTTCTTGGAACACTTTGAAGGGAAAATTAGCCGCAAATTTTTCAACAAATTTTCGCAAAATCGACTAATGACAATAAATCATTCTTTCAAGCAGAAGGAAAACGGGAACTATTAATGCTTTTGAATTATATAGCTACCTCTTGTCCTCTCCCTGAACCTACCTAGAAGGAGTTTACCACTCATCATCGTTACCCTCCGCCAAATACCAACAATAAGAAGCTGTCCCTTGATGATAAAATATATTCAAAGCCAACGATATTTACAATATAATCATCGGAATAGCTCAAACGACCGACAACTATATGGATCAAATATTTCTCTGCTGTACTTACTATATACTTAATACGACGACTGTGTAATTAATGCATAAGAAATAAGTAAGAAATAATAAAGCGATGGAGATGTATCGTTCAATGTTTCAATATATAATTCTGTATAAAGTATATCATTCTTTCGAATATATTTAAGCGGTATATGTACTTCGAATAACTCATAATTATAATATTATCGAACTTCTATGAATGTAAACACAGAACATAAACTACCACCCGAGACGATTATTACTCTAATAGCCCAGTGGTGATAACCATGTAACCCATATAGAGGTAACACATAAATTATTATTTATTAAAGAGCGTAAATTTAAAAAAAAAAGCAATGTATTCGCTTCCTACTCGATGACTAATAATAAATTAGAATCGCACTTTCCTCCAACTCTGTTATGATTGTATATTCTCAGAAGCATTCTCGGACTTTTCAGAATTAGGAAGGTTGCGAATACCTGATGCATAATCCGTCTGTCCCTTAAACCGTGTTTCATACACCAAACAAATAAACAACTGCTTAGGCTTTACCAGCCTGTTGATTAGGGGGCCCCAAAAAGGTCTTACCCCCCACGCAGTGGTGGGAAACATGAAGCGCAATGGCGTCTATATAAGCTCGACAATTAGCTCGGAGATCACATTCCCAATTCGAATATCGAACAGAACGTTTGAAGGTTCTTGACGCTTCGAAGTTCTTGACGTTTGAAAATTCTCGACGTTCGAAAGTTCTTCGTGTTTGGAAGCGCTTCGCGATTGAAAGCGTCCTTATACATCTTCACCACACTTGGAGCAGTAAGTATTTTATTTCCTTCAAATCGTTTCCTCCACTGATTTTTCAAACAATTTGTTTGAAATTATTTATTTTATTTGTTTATTTATTATTTATTTATTTTTTATTTACCTATCTTAATTTTAGTTTTCCAGATTGTGCCTTATAACAAAACGATGGGAGAGTGCCCGCTTGGTTACAATAGCTTGCACATCAGAAGACAATCTCGAGACAGTTTACCACCGAATTACGTTATGGTGAGCTTTATTTGCCCATGTGGTGAATTCATCTCGGAATTTGGCCTGCATCGCTACCTTTTATACCATCTGACGGGAAGGACGGGACGAAGATCAGGCAGCCCTGGAGCACGTCCATATCTCCAGTTGCTCACCAACTTGCAAGTAGAAGCAATTCTGGGGCGTCGTAGGAATACGAATGGAGATGAACAAGAAAAAGAAGAAGAAGAAGAAGAAGAATACTCTCCTGATCGCTAAACTAATTCGACTTGGGAACTACTTTATATGGGAACTACTACTTACTTTACTTGGGAACTGTAAATAGATGTTGTGTATAACAGGCTCATCACACATAAGTTG